GTCATATTAAAATTATCTCTCGAGCAATCACTCTAGATATCTTGAAGGCCTTTGATATGATGAGACAGAGGTGATTGCTACAGAAACTGGAAACACTTGGAGACCCTCTCAGTTTTCAGGTCTTTTCTATCAGGAAGGTCTATTAAGGTCGCAGTTAATGACCAATCATCTGAGGCCCATGATATCAATGCTGGCGTCTCCGAAGGCTCTCTCTCATCGGCTCTCTTTCTACTTTATACTAACGATCTGCCTAAAAACATTCTAAGAGTAAATATCTATATAGATGATACCATAGTATTGATGACTATTGCCTGGCAGCTGATCTCTCTTCTGGCCTAATTGTCACAGCTCAGTGGGGAAAAGAATGGTTGGTACCATTCAATACACCCAAAACTGAACTCGTCACATTTCATACTTTGATCTTTCCTCATAAATATTTAGACGATAAAATTTTGTTTTCGTCAAGTTTGACGTATTTTTCTTCATGCTATGCTCTTTTTTTAGCGATCTCGTGGAGGTACCTATCCAAAACTGAACTTGTAATACTTCATTACAAACATGCAGACTCTAAACTTGCAGCAACCTGATGGTGGTCGTAACCATAAAGAGGTTCCATTCCTCGAACGCCTACCGGAGTTAATGTTCACACCCGACCAATAATGGAAAGCGTATAGACACCGGAAGAATAGTCGGTTCGTTGTATTGCTCAACTCCGGCTGTCATGCTCTATCTTTACAAGAGTCAGATAAGACCAAGAATGGAGTATTGCTACCATATCTGCTACATGATCCTCACTGTCCAACCTTGAATGAGTTCAATAGCGGTTACGCGGCCTTGTAGGTGATGAATTATTACCAACCTTGCAACCCTTACCCCACATATGAAACATTGCAAGCCTTTCACTACTCAGTCACACTTCCTATGGCAGATATTCAGACGAGATATATTCCATAGTTCTACCTGGCTCAGGTCCTCACATCTAGGACCCTCTATGTCATGTTCACAGCATCAAATCATTCCTATTTTTTTTATTTCTTTGGTAACAGGCAAGTTCAATCAGACAGCATTTTTTACAGGACATATTTTGTGGATGAAAAACTCCCGAGAGGATGCTTACCTGACAATTGCGACTGCCCAAACGAAAGTGTTTTGAACACTAAGAAGTGTGCTGAATTGTTGAAAGCTTTTCTGTCATTTCATCCACTAATTACTGCTAATGCGAAGACTCAGTGGGTCAGTAATAGTCAGAATAATAATTACATCCAAATGTTAACTCTTAACATTTTATCACCACCGAGCAGACCCCAAACTTGCATCAATCCTGATGAGTGATCATACCGTCAAAGAGACTCCTTAACTCGAACGCCTACTAGGACTAAAGCTCACTCCTGACCTCAAATTGCAAGTGTATATTCGGCGCCATCGCAAAAGAATGGTCGGTTTCTTGTATCTCTCCAGAAAAATACCAAATTCCTGAAGCCAGTTAGATCCGACCAAAAATGGCGTACTGCTGCCATATCTAGTCTGATTCTACCCAATCCTCATTGTCCAGCCTCGACAGAGTTCAAAAGCGCCTATACGGTGATGAATTCTTTCTTTACCTTGCAACCTAAAGACGAAATGTTACCAGCCTCTCACTACTTCTATCGTTATTGCTATGACAAATATCCGGACGAGTTACATTCGTTAGTACCACCAGCTCGGACCTTCATTCGTTAATACCTCCAGCTCGGACCTCAACAGCTAGGATCCGCCGTGCCATATCCACAGTTACATACCATTCCCACTTCCTTCGTTTTTCTGTGATAAAAAAAACAAGTTCCCTCAGACATCTTCTTCCACATAACTGTTGTTCTGTGAAAAAACTCCCGAGAGGATGCTTACCTAACAACTACAATTTTGGTCTCTTTAAGTCCAGGGTCAACCGATATTTATTCTAAACTTATTCATAATACTCTCTTACTTCCCTTCACTTATAATCCCACTCTTCTATCTAGAGTGGCTCTTGCGCCTTGCATTGGGTAAACTAACGGTAAAAACCAACCCACATCCCTTTGTCTTCTTTTAATAAAAAAAGCGTAAAATAATTCCTATTTGTTATATATTCCTTTGTTAAGAGGCAATCAGTTCAATCAGACAACATTTTGTTCAGAACGGTTATTATGTGGAAGAAACTCCCGAGATGATGCTTACCTGACAATTGCGACAACAGTATTGCCGAAAGTGTTTTGAACACTAAGAAGTGTGCTGAATTTACAAGCGTCATATCCCACCAAGAATGGCGTATTTTTGTCATATCTAGTCTGATGCTAACCAATTCTCACTGTCCAACCTCAACAGAGATCAAAAGCGCTTATACGGTGATGAATTCTTCTCCACACTGCAACACACAGCCTTTCCCTGCTACTGTGGCAGGTGTTCGGACGAGTTACATGTCTTAGTACCACCAATTCAGACCTTCACAGCTAGGACCCGCCCTACTCTGTTCACGGTGGCAAACCAAACCACATACCTTCGTCTTCCTTTGATGAAAAAAAAAAAGAGTCCTACTCAGTCAGTTTCTTCTCCAGAACTGTTACTTTATAGAACAAACTCCCGAGAGAATGCTTCCCTGACAACGATAATCTCCTCATCTTCATTCTTACTCCCAACCTCTTCCACATCTTTCTTACAACGATCTTTACTCAGTAATCATCCACCTTGCGTGGTTTGTTTTGTTTTACGGCATATCAACAACTCAATGGGTCATTTAATGTCGACAAGATTTTTATTGCTGGTAATATCTTTTTCAAAAATGTATTGCTGGTAATATTTTTTTCTTCAATAATTGATTAAAACCTATTTTTACACGTTTTGACCACAGTTTAGGGGTTAACTATTTACCCAAAACTGGGACCCTAACAGGTGCTACCAATCCCAGGTCAGGGTGAACCTGAGAACACCGGAATTTAATAGGGGCCCCACGAAGTCGGAGATCATATATGTCATCAAATAGTGGGGATATATATATATATATATATATATATATATATATATATATATATATATATATATATATATATATCATCAACAGGTTAATTGAGGAGGTTGGAAAATACTAAGTCAACTACGTTTGAGTTGAAAGAGATGTGCCGGAACAATTAGTCTGTTTTGCAGAAAAATGTCTGCGGTGTTTCTTTATTCCCACCGCCCCGTTAATTTGAAATTTCCTTATACCGCCCCTTAATTTATGCAGTGAGCATTCTAAAAAAAAAAAAAATACTTCATTAATGAATAATTATTTAAAAAGATATAAACAAGAATTAAAAAAGAAATCAAACTGCCCCCTTTTATTTTAATCGCCATGTTTATTTGAGACTTAAGTATATCCAACACGAATATAACAGAAATGTATTCCACAGGAAATATTTTTCTTATATATATATATATATATATATATATATATATATATATATATATATATATATAATTATTTATTCGATAATTATAGCATAAATAAGTTATAAAATCACTTCAAAATAGCCATTTTGTTTCAACACTTCTGGTGTCTTATCATGTGATGGTGTTGAATGTAGAAAAAAGAATTTTAAAAGGTCCAAATCGACCAAACACCTCTCGCTAGGGGAAACGCTGTTACATAAGCTGCAATGATCAATAAAGATACAAGTATATGAGAATTCAAAAAACTTAACAATGAACCTTAGTTATAATAATTAATGCCTTAATGTTAGGGTTAGACTAAAATAGAAATTATTCTAATTAATTAATATTAAATTTTATCATAAAATTGAAAATTAAAAATTATCAATTTTAAATTTTAAATTTAATCTGTATTAACTGTAAAATATGAAATTATTTAAAGAAGAAACTGAGGAAAAATATATGTATTTTTTTAAATTTATTTTGTTTTAATTGAAAAGCCAAAAATCTCAGAATAAACGTTAATCTAATGGGGATGTAAAACATCGTTACAACTTAAGATCCATTTGAAGTGGTGATATGGACAAGGGAGGATGAAATCTTACAAAAGACAATACGTACACAATCAGATTATAATACACCAACACGTAGACATATGCAGATATATAAACACGCAAAAACACGAACGAAACAGGAAATACATTAATCAGTTAGAATCAGTCATTGAAGATTATGTAACAGCGTTTCCCCTATCGAGGGGTGTTTGGTTAATTTGAACCTTTTAAAAATTTTTATTCTACATTCAGCACCATCACTTGATAAGACACCAGAAGTGTTGAAACAAAATGGCTATTTTTGTAGTGATTTTGTAACATATTTATATTATAATTTTCTGAATAATTTATATATATATATATATATATATATATATATATATATATATAATGGACTCTCCCGTCGGTTTCGACGTATGAGGATCTGACAGCTTAATTGATTCAGTTATGAAAGTTTGTGCGATAATCTTAAGTGGCATTTAAGACTCGCTAGTGATTTACAAAGGAGACCACATATGGAGCAAATGTGAGGATTGAGATGAGATCACTGTTATATATACAGTTATCTCTCTCTCTCTCTCTCTCTCTATATATATATATATATATATATATATTGTGTTATTATTATTATTATTATTATTATTAACCCTGACGGTAGCAGATGATCATTGATTTTTTTTGCTTGTCAACAGAAGAGAATAAAACGGAAAAAAATGAAATAAATAACTTTAAGACCTTAACAAGATCACCGAAATAAATGAAGATGCTGCAATTAAAATTGTGTTTGAATTTGATTAAAATTGTCCTAGTTGTCCATGCAATAAATAAGACGCCATTTTTTCCCTCTAAATGGTAAGTAGAGAGGAGCCTTTGTTGATATTTCTCATTGTTGCAAGCGGGTCGTGTCAATAAGGATATTAAGTTTGGTCCAAGAGGCTGGGGGAAGTCTAGAATATGCAGATGTCATTATTTGTTTGCCATTGTTGGCCCTGATGGTGTGGACTGACGACTCTCATACTGCGCTTGTCAGCTGCCTTCCTTTCCCCTTGCTTTAGCCTGCCGGGTCGTCCGGTCACCATCCCGGCACAGATATGAGTTGACTAATGCAGCAAACACATACAATTCAATTGACCTCGGTAAATTAAAAAGACACAGAAAATAATATGCGAGCGTTTCATTAGCTAACTACTTTAGCAATATACTGATTAAGGAGGAATTCGCCGAAGAGACAGAATCAAACTGGAAAGCAAAAGAGAATAAAAAAAAAAAAAGATTCGAAAGAAAGAAATATTTTGAAAGAAAGGAAAACTATAAGATTTAAAGATAGTGTGTTCTGGAAGAAAATGGATGGCTTTTCGAAGAAGAACGATTGAGAGACAAACGTTAGTGAGAAGGAAAGTGTTTTATGAAAGGTTGGGGAGGCAAATGGTAGAATGAAGTCGATAAGGTCACCGTGGATGAAAACTGAAGTGTAATTAGATAGAAAAATTATAGGAAATAAAAAAAAATCTGTTGAGAATGTTTAAAAAAATAGAAGTCGGGAAATAGGGAAGATGCTAATAACAGTCTCTAACGTTAAATATTTAAAAAGAATATTGAAGAAGAAGAAGAAGAAGAAGAAGAAGAAGAAGAAGAAGAAGAAGAAGAAGAATGGATCTGGATTTGTGAAGAAAAAATAATAACAATAAGGAAAAGAAGAAGAAAAATAAATTTAGACTTGTAAGGAAAAAAACAATTAATAATAATAATAATAATAATAATAATAATAAGAAGAAGAAGAAGAAGAAGAACAAGAACAAGAACAAGAACAAGAACAACAATAAGGAAAATGGATTTAGATTTGTGAAGAAAAAACAAAAAATAATGAGAAGAAGAAGACGAAAGGCGAAATGGATTCACATTTGTGGAAGAAAAAGAATAAAAAAAAGAAAATTAATTAAAAAATGTAAAGAAATATTGAAAAAGAATGACAAGTTGTGAAGAAGAAGAAGAAGAAGAAGAAGAAGAAGAAGAAGAAAATGGGTAAAAATAAGGAAAGGGAGAAAGAAAGAGAAACCTAAGAACAAAAATACTACTAGTGCTACAAATACTACTAATAATAATGAGAAGAAGAAAAAAGAAGAAGAAATAAGAAAAATGGATATGTAAAGAAAAATACAAACAAATTTGCGAGATGAATAAAGAGAAGAAGAAATGTATTTAATTGTTTGAAGAAGAATTAAAAGAAAGATAAGAAGAAAGGAAAAATGTTAAGAATAAAGGGAAGAATTAAAGTTTTCTGAAAGAAAAGTGTGGAAGAAAATGAAATTAAGGAAAATAATAAGCCCAATATAAAAATAAAGGAAGAATTCAAAGAAGAGATGGAATCAGAAAGGAAGAAAGATAATTTGATAACCCAAATAAAAGAAAATTAGTCAGTAGCAAACAAGAAAAGGATTGAGTCTTAAAGCATTTGGTCGATGCGATATGAAAGAAAGAACGAAGAAGAACATGGGCATAGACAAATAATTATTATTATTTTTATAAGAAAAATAACAAGAATAGTAACAGGTAGAAAAGAATAAATCTAAGATCTTAGTGATGAATGTAGATTTAAAGGATGGAGGGACAGCCGAGAGATATAAGGTGTGAGGAAAGGTTAAAGAAATGATATGAAAAACAAGAAAGAAGAACGTTTTGCATACAACGTTCAATGATTGGCTGTTAAAATAATTCATTGGCTTACACTTGGTCGTCTGCTAATCGAATTCGGAGAAAAGACGATAAGGAAATTAGTGTAGCCAAAAATGGGACAAACAGAAGAAGAGTTTTCAAATAAAACAGTAAAACAGAAAATATAAGCGGAATGTAAGAAATAAGCAACGATTTTTATTAGAAACGAAAAGAAAAAATCGAATAAAAGATGGGAAGAAAATTGACCACGCAAGAAATCGAAAGTGAATGTACAAAATAAAAAAAAATATATATATATATAGAATATTATGGTAATTTTGCACATTGAAATCTGATCCCGAAAAATAAGATATTTAGAAAACGTGTTATTAAGTTAGTGTTCGAGTGTGACAAGGCACCTAGTGAGAATAGTATTCACTCTATACCTGTGACCGCTAAGCCTCGTTTGTTAAGCATCAATGTCACGGCAGTTGCCCATTCAAACCTACATATACCTTCGTGCAAATTAATTGAAACAACTACTTTAGTTTCCTTTCTTTCACCCTACGGTCAGTTTTAGACCCACTCGATTGGCAGGGTGTAATCGATTTCTATTTTTCTTCAGATTAGGTCATTTGCAGTAGGTGTGCAGTAATATGAATCTGTTTTCCGGGTGCGTGATGAAATTTGTTTGGCCTTCAAAAATATTGCGTCATCCGTGATTGAATCAGATTTTTATCACGCCCAAACACTATTGTCTCGATTGTCGATTAGTTGTCCTACGGCCATTGTCTGTAATGGACGTTACTAGAAGGAAGCGTACAAAAATTGTAATGTTGCACGAACGCACTGGCAAAACTTACAAGTGACAAAATCAAAGTACAATAGACTGGCCCGGAAACTCTCCTGATTTAAATCCAATCAAGAATCTGTTGTCAATCTGCAAGGAAAGACTTCGTGTCACGTACTAGCATGTGAGCTAGATCATGTTTCAATGGAAAAATACGGAAAAAAGTAAATAATATTGGAATTATTCGTTTTGTTTTAATTAATTTGCACAAGGGTGTATGTCTCACAAATTAACGTAATAATGAAAACCGTATTCATTTTACTGATATAAAGTTCATAAAACGCTCATAGTGACTGGTTAATAATACTGTAAAGAAACACTGGAACAAAATATTAAAGAGGTTTAATCACATGTTAGACATGGATTAATGATATAAGGATATATAGTATATACTATAATTAATTAATTAGATTAGTTCTATAGTGATATATAATATATACTATATTTAATTAGATTAATACTATAGTGATATTTAATTAGATTATAATACTATAGTGATATACTATATTTAATTAGATTAATACTATAGTGATATATAATATATTTAATTAGATTAATACTATAGTGGTATATAATATATATTTATTTATTAATACTATAGTGATTATAATTATTTAATTAGATTAATACTATAGTGATATATAATATATACTATATTTAATTACATTGATACTATAGTGATATATAATATATTTAATTAGATTAAGTACTATAGTGATATATATATATACTATATTTATTTAGATTAATACTATAGTGATATATAATATATTTAATTAGATTAATACTATAGTGATATATACTATATTTAATTAGATTAGTACTATAGTGATATATAATATATACTATATTTAATTAGATTAATACTATAGTGATATATAATATATACTATATTTAATTAGATTAGTACTAAAGTGATATATAATATATACTATATTTAATTAGATTAATGCTATAGTGATAGAGACTCCCATAGTTTAATGCGGCAATGTGTAACTCAAATGCTACGCCTTGCGAACCATTTTGCGACGACAGTTCATATAAGCTGACGTTCTACTTTTAGCGGATGGACGAGTCTATGTTTCATAATTAGGGTAGAGAAGGTCGTTCGTCTTTCTACACAACTTTTACACAACACATACTTTTCAGCATAATCTCCTTTTTTGTAAATACAGTTAATTTAATAGTGAATGGTTACGTACATCAATAAGTCTAAAACTCGTTTATTTTATACAAGAAATATTTGATTTTCAAATTGAGCTCTTCTCTTGTCAATGCGCTTAATTCAGTGGCGTATATTAAAAACATATATCGAATATTATCTTGTGATTATTTCATGCCATAATTCAGTTAATAAGTGGTGGGGATGTCTGGGTCTTCATAAACCACTAAAAGAAACATTTTATATGTATTGAGATTAGCTTAGTCTGACACAAGGCCAATTAATTAGGAGAGACATGGTTTAGAAAAGTAATCTTCTATGTAAGAATGTTTTGCGTGTCTGATTGATTTGAAAATCATCAGTCAATTTTTTTATCGGTGTTCGAACACTTCCTACTCCGAGAGAAATACTCACTAAACTTAGTTTAGTATTACACGGATGGAGAACAAGAAGATTATGGTGCGCCAAGATTATAATGCTAATGCGCATGAGTGTTTTGCGATTCATTATTAAAAATCCTAATATTTTAAATTATTGGAGGCACGGTGGAATAGTGGATAGCGACTCGGATTGGGTAATCGGAGTGCCGAGTTCGAATTCCAGTCGAATCTATTACATACACTTACGTGCAAATACCATTGGGAAAGGTATGAATCGCCGTCTTCTCCCCCCCAGCCATGGGTAAGTAGCAGGACAGACCCGATTCTATAGCCTTCTACTATAGAAAGAAATGGCAACCCACTGCGGGTAAAAATCTGCCTCGTCAGTTATGTATCGAAAGATACATGATCGCTTAAGTGTGGCACCTAACTGACTGAATATTTTAAATTCGAGCAAAATCCTAGGCGGGAAAATACCAAGTTTAATAAACTTAGGAAAGTGTAGCACCTGATGTTGAGAATAGAAATGAAGAGAAAAGAAATTAATATCAAGAAAATCAGCATTCATTTTCATCTTGTCGTGACCATTGGCGTCACGAGGAAATATCAGCGTCACGAGTAAAACCCCAAAACTAATTTTTAAGGACGGAAATGGGAAAGACATTTTAAATTTAGTAAATCATTATTATAAAGTGTTTATAAACCATTTTTTTTCAGTGAGGAGTGTTAGGTCATTTAAACTCAATAGCGTTACCCCCATTGAACAAACGTCCCAGCGCGGAGCACAGCTGTCATGATACTCTGATCGATCAGTGAATTTGCAATACCAGAGTCAGAATTTGTAAATTATTCTTCGCTTCATAGCCGTCCCTCATTTGCAACGACATTTTCCTCATCCGGACGAATTTTTTCGTTGCCTTGAGATTCGGCAAAGCAGTCATTCATCATCTTTGGAGTGAAGTGTGATTGTCAGCAGCGAGAGAAGAAAAATAGACAAATATGTATTAAAAAAAACAAACAAACAAAGAAGAAACAAAAAATCGAACTAATCAATCAATTACTATCAAGGGTTTTCAATGTTTCGAAGACGAATTAATGAAATCCTAAAACTGTATGAAAACATTAACATTCCATTTTTACTATTGTTGCTATGGTTACTGTAAATTTCTTTCGTCTGTTTAGTGGAGTTATTTTCATTAAGAATATTGAAATTATTATTTTCGACATTCTGTGTGAGAATGAAAATGGGTAGGCAGGTATTTCTGTGGATCAAATTTCAAACCCGAGTAAAATGAATGCTGATCTCCAAAGTTAATCGTCTAAACCAATTTGATCTTTTGTCATACGAAGCGAAACTTAGTAAATACAAAAAGGAGAGACTTTTTTTTTAAATTTGAAGTAACAAAGATATTTGTGTAATTATGAACACTACGTGAAGCTGTATTCAAGTTCAGATAAAGAAAAACAGAGTTTTCATTGTTAAATTAAAAAAAAAAGAAGGTTACTGAGTCTTTAGGTTTATAACTCCTCAAAATTGTGTGACCTCAGTGGATAAAAGTGATGGTTGAAATAATTCAGTGAATTGACTCAAAGATTTGAGTTCAATACCCTGGCCACAACAGGGGTGAACAAAACACTTGGCGAGTTGAATTACTAAAGGGAAATAACTGAAACTGAGATATCCAAAAAAGGCATGGCTCGTAGAATTAGAACAATCTACCCCAGTGAACGAAATAAAGGGTTCGGTTCGAAATTTCAATCATCTGAAGAAAGCCGGGCCGTACAACGACCTAAACGTCCTGAACATAGCAAAAAAAAAAAAAAAAAAAAAAAAAAAGAGACCAACAATCCGAACAACATAAATAGTGTAAATTATTACAATACCTCATCTCAGAAATATAGACATATAGCTAGTAATATTTTTTTTTTTTCAAATATGTATTGTTGTTAATAATTTTTTCCTTCAAAAATTTATTGCTGGTAATATTTTTTACAAAAAAATGCTGGTATTAAAAATTATTTTACACTTTCATAGTGTTTTGACCTCAGTTTGTGGGTTAACTATTTGCCCATAGCTGGGACCCTAACAGATGCTACCACCCCGGGTCAGGGTGGACCTGGGAACTCCAGCAATTAGAAGGTGGTTCCACACTCCTCATCATGATTAAAGGCCATGCTGTTGGATGTAGTTTATCGTCATACCCAGGACAGCCGAAAGGGGGGGGTTATCGACGGCACGAAACCAAGTCATTTAAATTACACTTGAGAATGCTTTCCAAAGAATGAAATTAAGTGTTATACACGAACGTATGGTTAATGTTAATATTATTTTGTTGACATTCTGTAGCCTTTATACATCTTTCAACCATTGATTTTGCTAACTTTTCTACTGTTTTGACTCGAATATTACCTGCAGCAGTTTTTATTACTTCCCTGTTTAAATATATTTTAAAGATGCGTCACAGCCTGGGGAAACATTATATTGTTTTAATACGTTTGAAATATTTTTGGCAAGATGGGCAATGGACTTAACATTAGAGTAACAAAGAAACTTTAAGGCATACGGGAACAAAAGGGACACTTGTACTTAGCATCAGAAAGAGACAAGGGAACTTTCTGGAACACATAATGAGAAAGGAAGGCTTGGAGAATTTGACACTCACAAGATATATT